CAAATTTTATTAGTTGCATGATTATAACTGTAATTCACTTACACACCACAATTCTTGGTGTTTCAATTAAGGCCCCTGGACCAACTGTTAAAAATTCAGTTGTCATACCAGTTGTCTATACCAATGTAGTAAATTAGACTATGGTTACCAGCAGAGTTATTAATCACCAACCAAAGAAAACTGTCTGTTTATTCAAATGTTATCAAGAGGAGGGTGAGTCTGACCTTAGTTATAAATCATTCACTGCACAATTAACACAAAATGCTTCACCTGAAAAGAAAATTGAGATTGGGAAGAAATAGTATAATTTGAGCTTCTTCATAAGGTTGTATATTTGGGGTTAGAAAGTGAAGGAGCCAGCAAGCAAGATGCAGAGGTATTTATAAACATGAACCACCTCTATAAAGTTTCCCTGTAGAGTGAACACAGTGGGGAGTGCTTGATGGCCTTTTTATTGCCATTTTTAAACAGCATAAGTTTAGTTTTTTCAGCACTAAGAACCCATTTTAGCTGCAAACCTGCGTGCTGTGTGACCACATAAAAAGCTTTCTGCAAATATTGAACAGGGGTTGATCCTAAACTGTGAACGATGGAGTCATCAGTGTAAAAATACATGTTTAGATCTTATTGTTCCTAATCACTTTTTGTACATAATCAGCAGTAGGGATCTAGTACTGAATAAAAAAAAACTAGCGGGGTAGGATTCAGGAAACACAGTGAACACGCTGAACTGGAACTGGAAGAGGGAAGTATCAGTGGTTAGCTCAGGATCTGTGGGAACTTTGAACGACGACTTGTAGAGACAGAGAAAACGGGACTCACGTTAGTGGAGAAAACTTTCTTCCCAGAATCCAGTCGGAGTGAGTTTTTCCAGAGGTTGAGACTCGTTGGAGGGCGGACAGGTATAGACTTGGTTTGATCCTGAGGAGCTATTGAGCGGACTGTCACTTGGGAATCCAGGAGGACTTGAACTGAACTTTTGGAGGTTAATCCCCTGCTCAGTGTGAGACTCCATCAATCCTTCCAGGGGGAGAAGGCCAAACAGTCAGCTTGCAGGAAGGCTTCCTGCCAAAAAGGCAAAGACAAAAACAAGGTTAGGCTCAGCGAAAACTAAGACTAAGTTAGACTCAGCTTGGCTAGAGTACCCAAAACTGGCAAACACTCTGGCGCCGAGGTAGTGACAGTCCATGGCTCAAATAGTCCTCAGTGATGAGTCAACCAGCCGCAGGTGTGTGAGAGGACCAACGAGAACAGGGCGCCACCTGGTGGTGGAGGGAGAGAAAGACAAAAACACAACCCACACAAACTGGATTCCTAACAAAATCCTTATCAGTTTCTAATAATTTTTCTTTAAAATGTACCTTTACAAAAAATAAATCTAACATTCTATATAATTAGAAATTATAACAACTATATAAAAGCACTTTTTGTATAAAACTAAGACAAATTGTCCTGTTTAGATTTGTAAGGTCTGCGATGGACTGGTGACCTGTCCAGGATGGACCCGTAGACAGCTGGCACCAGCACCCCTCGCGACCCTACAGGGGATAAGCGTGTTAGAAAATGGATAGATGGATAAATAGATTTGAAAGGTTGAGACTGCTTGCTAAGATAAACACTGAAAGCACAGACCAAGTGCTAACTTGTTTAACCCCTGCAGAGAAGACTTAATTTATCTTCTAAAGTTTAAAAGAAATAGGTTTTTTCACTACTGTTCATAACAGATATAGAGGGACACAGTTTATCCAAACACTCCTCACCCAGACACTTTGTTGCCTTGGAACTCTGAGACTGAATGAATAAAACTCAGCCCTGAGACAATCCAGCACAGAACTGCAGGGTGTAAGATGCTGGCAGGGAAAACTTACATGAAGCACCATCACCAAGTGGCCTGAATAGCGTACAGGAACAAAAGGAGGGAAGACCACCCGTGATGGGTGAGGAAGAGTTTTGTTCTGTTTTGTTTTTTTATGTATGTATATAAAGCTACATACATATATGTAAATAGGAAATTAATAGGAGATTGCTTTAAGACACATTTGCTTTAAGAGACTTGACTTAATTTAATTTGTCTTGTGCCGTTTCTCTCTCTCTCTCCAGTCGTCTCCAACGTCCGTGACTCAACCTGTCAATCAGCCACTCTGCTACTGTGACGACAGCTCAGGGCACTAGAGAGCTGCAACCCCAAGATCTCCTATCATTTTGCATTGAAAAGGAGCTACTGTGCATGTACAACTTTTAACTAGAGTCTATGGCCAAAGATATTTGCACCCCAGAGCGGAAATACATCAATCCTACGAGGAACAAAACAGCTTTATTCCTGATTAAAGATTAAAAATTTATCTTGCACATTTAAGAAACATAACTGTAGTAAAGAAATATATTTCGAAAAGAATTGTTTTTTTTTTGTCTTAATCGAGATCATTGGGTGGGTGGGGCGGTGCCCTAGCGCCCTCTATTGCCCAGCCCCCACTGCCTAAGACTGGTCTTGAGGCCTCCATCCTTATTGTTTATTGACATTTTTTCTTTTTATATAAATAATTATATGCACTGAGTGTTTCAAAAAAGCTGTACTGCTGCAATCAACACCTTTGTTTCTAGATGTTGGAGCTTGGCCTGTTTTCCAGTGTAGTCCTGTTTCTCTGACTGTGACTAACTGGATGTGCTCTCTTNGAAAGCAGAGCTTGCTATCCTTGTCACAGAGCTACACTGCCTGTGAGTAAAAACACAGGTAAAGCATATTAATATCTTCAAAATATAACGGAGTCTTTGTTTAAAGAGAAAAATGCAGCCACAACAAAAACTTTAGAACCGTTTATTAATTGGTAAGCCCAGGGAAATGCTTTTTGTAAAGTTAGCCAAAGTTATTTTTAAATAGAATAAATCAACACTTATCCTTCATAGTCCTTCATAAGCATCCTTGTTGTTTTATGTTTGTTTTTGTATTTTTTAAGCTTCTATTTCACTTTATCTGTTTTTTGTGATCAAAAACTCCTGAAAGTAAACCATTTATCAGTGATGGTGTCAAGGCTGGTTCTATTAGACATATATCTTTGGACTTTTTTTCACAAAACATAAAACATTTGCGGCACAAAATGAACTAAAAAAGAATATTTGCTCAATTAAAACTACTTTATGGTATAGAATCATAATAAATTACAGTCTCTATACACTGTCTACTAACTGAATTCACCAGTTGGTGTTGCATTTTGATGGATTAAAAAGATCTCAGTGATAACTTTTGTTTTATTTTGTATTTTATTTAATCATTATTGAACCATGACAGTCCCCTTAAGATTAAGAACCTCCTTTTTAAGGGAGTTCTAGCCAATAGGCAGCAAAAGTTAAAGTAAACCGTTACAATTTTTCAAATGTTTTAAGTCATTATTATAAAACTTTTTACAAAAGAAAACTTTTTACAAGAAAAATTGAAAGCCCCCTTTCCCAGGTCTGTGGGGGCAAATGAAACAGAGGGCAATAAATTATTATTTGATAGCAAAGAGAAAAAGTGAAAACCTGTCAGCACTGGAAAAACAATCTAGAAATAAGTAAAAAAAATTCCTTAAATTAAGTGTATTTACCCTTAATCTGAGTTGGTAAATGAGATAGTTTGCTAATGGAATATTGGAGTATTTTTTCTCTTAAAATAAGATAATATGAACTTTAAATAAGACAATGCAATTGTGTTATCTAATTTTAAATTTAATTGTCTTGTTCTATTGGCAAAATGTTACTTTTACCTCCTCTATCAAAGAACAAATTCACTTAATTTAAGAAAAAATGACTCATCTAGATTTCGATTTTTTTCCAGTGTGTTATTAGATTCCAGATGCAGGAGGGCAGCGGACTGAGCATTTTTTCTATAATTCATCTATAAACTATGTTGTATGTTTGTTTTAAGCCCCAATTTCCTCAATATGAACAGTGAAGCTAACGTTAGCTTGGCTGATATGATTATAGATGCATAGATATCTTAAAGGTTTCATATTAGGGTACATTTGAAAAATTAAAAATATGAACAATGAGGCCCTGCTGTAATATTTTACCAGTAGATTGTGAATTTATTATTAACTGTTAATTATAATTGTATTTAATTAGTAGAAGTTCATTGAAAATCAAGGGTTAAACCAATCAAATTTTATTAGTTGCATGATTATAACTGTAATTCACTTACACACCACAATTCTTGGTGTTTCACATCCAATTAAGGCCCCTGGACCAACTGTTAAAAATCCAGTTGTCTATACCAATGTAATAAATTAGACTATGGTTAACAGCAGAGTTATTAATCACCAACCAAAGAAAACTGTTTATTCAAATGTTATCAAGAGGAGGGTGAGTCTGACCTTAGTTATAAATCATTCACTGCACAATTAACACAAAATGCTTCACCTGAAAAGAAAATTGAGATTGGGAAGAAATAGTATAATTTGAGCTTCTTCATAAGGTTGTATATTTGGGGTTAGAAAGTGAAGGAGCCAGCAAGCAAGATGCAGAGGTATTTATAAACATGAACCACCTCTATAAAGTTTCCCTGTAGAGTGAACACAGTGGGGAGTGCTTGATGGCCTTTTTATTGCCATTTTTAAACAGCATAAGTTTAGTTTTTTCAGCACTAAGAACCCATTTTAGCTGCAAACCTGCGTGCTGTGTGACCACATAAAAAGCTTTCTGCAAATATTGAACAGGGGTTGATCCTAAACTGTGAACGATGGAGTCATCAGTGTAAAAATACATGTTTAGATCTTATTGTTCCTAATCACTTTTTGTACATAATCAGCAGTAGGGATCTAGTACTGAATACTTGTCTAATGAAAGCCCAGTTGATTTCAATGAGATTTAAGTGCCACGACTTCATACAATCCAATTCTCTGTCAAATCAGACACTAAATGTTTTTGTGTTCTTTCTTATATCAGGTACTGCTGGAAAAGATCCACTTCTACAATCCAAAGAACTGTAAATCTGTCAGATCTGTACTGCCGCTTAGATGTTTGTTTTATAATGGAAATGCAGGCATCCATAGGTCCAAAGGTCTACTGTTATAGTCCCTCTGGAACTCCCTGCGATCCAGGAGAATTTAAAGACTGCAAGATGTAAAAAAGATAGGAGAAGAACAAGGCGAGAGGAGGGAAAGATGTACAACCAGGGAATCTTTCGAAAGGATTAGATGCATTTTACCCTTCCTGACTTGGACACTAGTATGTGTTGGTGTAAATTACATTTTACACTCCCTGACAAGGTTGTTATGATCTGATTGGCACCAATAAATGTATAAAACCGGATTATCAGAAGCTGTCAGAGCTTGTGGTCCATGAACTTTGAACTCTGCAGAGAAGTGTCCTTCAAGACCTGATTTAGCCGTTTTATGACACGTCACCTGACAGAGCTCAACAGCTTAACCTGAAACAAACCAGGAAACAGTTTAATTTTCTGAATTCTGAGTCCAGGTGGACAGACGGATCTTTAAAGGCTTTCCTGCCACAATCTGAAGGTGAGTTTGGACAATATCACTAAAACTGGTTTGGGTGAGTTTAACGGAGGAAGAAGGTGGACTCATGTCTGACCGTACTGCGTTGTTCTCAGCCTGAAGAAATGTCTTTGAAGAGCCAGAATGAGAGCTTCTTACCAGAGAGTGATCAGACAACCTCCGCCACTCTGTGCACTCTTCACAATGAGACATTCAAGCTGTTCTGCCTGGACCACCAGCAGCCTGTGTGTGTCGTCTGCAGGGATTCCAAACAACATTTCAGGCACAGTTTCCATCCTATAAACGAAGCTGCACAGGATCACAGGGAGAAACTGTTGACTCTGCTGATGCCTCTGAAGGACAAACTGGAGCTGCGGAAGACGGACAAGGAGAAGTTTGAGGTGGCAGCAGAACATATCAAAGTCCAGGTCAAGCAGACCAGGAGACAGATTGTAGAGAGGTTTGAGAAACTCTACCAGTTTCTAGCTGACGAAGAAGAGGCGAGGTTGACTGAACTGATGGAGGAAGAGAAGCAGAAGAGCTGTGCTATGGAGCAAATGCTGACAGCTCTCAGCATTGAGATAGAAGCTCTCTCAGAAACGGTCAAAATCACAGAGGAGGAACTGGAAGCTGAGGATATCACATTCCTGCACAAGTACAGGACAGCAATGCAAAGGGTCCAGCACTGCCCCCTGCTGGAGGATCCACAACTCCCCTCAGGAGCTCTGATAGATCAGGCCAAACACCTGGGCAACCTGGCCTTCAACGTCTGGAGCAACATGAAGGACGTGATCTCATACTCTCCAGTTGTTTTGGACCCAAACACGGCTCACCCTGCCCTCATCCTGTCAGAAGATCTGGTCAGCGTGAGACGAGAGGACAAAATGGAGCTTCCCGACAACCCAGAGAGGTTTGATTTTTATAACTCTGTGTTGAGCTCAGAAGGTTTTGACTCTGGGACCCAAAGCTGGGATGTGGAGGTTGGAGACAGCTCCTACTGGGGCCTCGGTGTAATGGCTGAGTCCGTCCAGAGGAAGGGAAACGTGACCTCTGGATTGTGGGCAATTCATCTCTGCAAAGGAAAATACACATCGTGGTCACCGATGGGTTCGTCCACTTACCTCAACATCCAGGGAGACCTAAGGAGGGTCAGAGTTCATTTGGACTGGAAAAGAGGAAAGCTGTATTTCTCTGATTTGGATACAAACAGTTACATACACATCTTTACACACACCTTCACTGAAAAGTTGTTGCCTATTTTTAATCCTGCAGAAGAAATGAAAATTTTACCGATGAAGCTTTCTGTGTCGAAATGGAAAGTCTGAACTTGGCTTGATGGCCTTTGCATAACTTGAACTGGACTTGAACATCATGTATCCATCTCCAGAGGTTTAATTAGACACCTCTGATGTCTCAGCCATGTGGTGTGAAGGTATTTCCTCCTTGGCAGCGCCTCATATTTTGAACAAAACCGAAGCTCCTGATAATTTTCCTATACTTCAATAACAGAAGCCCCAATTCAATCCATACATTTTTTTTTTATCTTTACATATTGCATTGTTCAGTTAAAAACTTTAAAATGATAAAATAATAAAAAATTATCACTTCAAATTAAAGAATTCAATAAAAACATTTCACATTACTATAAGTGGCCTGTTCCAATAAAGCATTTAAAGTTATGATCATGATGTCAGATTAATTTTATTGTTTTACT